TCAGACCCACAGGGACAGCACTGTGGTTTGTGGGATGTTCTCCTAGCAACTCCTACTAACATCAGAATTACTTGGGCAGCTGAATCTTCATACCCCACACTAAGAGTTTGCTACTTGGCACTACTTTATGTGCAGATTTCATTTGCCCATATCTCTGGTTATTTGCACCAGGGTTACTTCAGTTCCTTGTCATCTTACAAATGCTTTTAATAACAGCTTTATGCTATTACTTTCTGAGCTTCTCTGCTGTAGTTCTTTGCATTTGGAAAAAAATGATGAAGATGAAGACATGGTCCCTGCCTCAAGGAGGCTATAATTAAAACAAGACCAGCATTATAGAAACATATATTCTAGCTGGCCTCTAACTGGATGGTCTGTTTAGTTTTGTTTTGACGTATTGTATGAAGCAGCATTTAACAGATGTTGGGAAATTAGCTCTCTGAGTTTCTTGTATAAACTTAGAGCAGAGATTCATGTGTATGAATTAATTTCATCACTAAATGTGGGCATTAATGTCATCAGGCATTTTTAAATGTTTGGGCCTATTCTGCTGTACTTTGCGTCCTCCTTGCCAGAAAATATAGAAATTTCTCAAGAGAAGGTGGCTTAGTTGTAGCAATACTTTCTAGCACCAAACTGACAATTTTCTTCTGTTGAGTCAATGTTGCCTTGTGCAAGTCCAGCAGTGGGAAAAAAGGGAAGAAAAGTGTCAATTGTTTCATTGCATACCCTCTGCACACAGTGTTGACCAAAAAAATCCCCCAAAACCCCAGACTGGAAGGGTCTCCCTGTGTCTTGCTGCCAAGTTATCCTTCTTCTTGTCAGTAATGTTAATTTATCATGCAAATCCTGCAGTTTATATCCTTATGGCTGCTCATATCCCTGCTGTCACAGCAAGGTGACAGATTTTCCCACTCCTCCTCTTTGCCAGGAGAATGGAGCATTGAGGATTAGATTCCCTTTTACAGCTTCCAGGGCAAAGTCAAACCAGCATTAAGGGGGGAGCTGACAGAGCAAGGCTTGCCCCTCTGTGCTGTGTTCAGGCAAGGTAACAAGGCAGGTAAGGTAGAGAGTGGATACAAGATCTGGGACAAAATCTAAAACAGAATATAGTTAGAAGTGTAGCTGACACAGAGATTTCATAATTTTCTGACACAGAGATTTCATAATTTTCACCTGTATTTAATGTATTTTGCATATCATATCTGTATTTTTTTTTAATTTTGCGGCCTCCTTAGCTTAATTTTCATAGATTGAAGTCTTAAGTGTTTCTAAAACAACAGCTATAGTTTTAAAAGATCATTTCACACCCACCCCACTCAAATTACAACAGACATGCAATATTAATTTAGGGCGAATGGGCACAGATGCTATCAAAATCACCCTCTTACCTGCCAACTCCACCAAATTTTCCAGTGCTTGGATATTTTCTTCCACTGATGTGTAGAATCTTATGGTAATGTTCTCTCTGCCTTTTTCCCCCTTAGATGTTTTAGTCAGTTACTAAACCTGCATATGGCTTCCTCCTCTATCAGCTGTCTGAGCTAAAACAATACTTTGTGACAATCACTGAACAGAAAAGCAGCTCTGAAGACACTGATGTGATTAGGTGTGAGGCCAAGAACTTGTGCTGAGTGCTGAAGAGCACTTTATAACCACAGTAAATCAGTACATTTAGGCTAGACAACATGGCAGAGAAGTGATGTGATGTGAAATATGAGCTGGGGAAGAATGTGCAAGAGAGGGAAGTGAAAAGGCATATTTGAACTGGATTTTCATTTTCCAGCGTTAAGTGTGAGTTAACCAGTCAGCTTTTCTTTGCTGACTCTGAGTTCTCCTCTTTACTTCAATACTGTGATGCTAACACCCAACAGCAGAGCAAAACGTGCAGATATGAGCACTCTCTGTGCCTCAGGCCTGTGAAAAGCTATTGTAACACAGCACTAAATTTGGACTAATGCACCCTGGCCCTCAGCAAGGACTAATAGCTCAGGATCAGCTTCATCCTAACAGCTTTGAGCTGTCTGGGATGGAGGCAAAGTGAGTTTTATCTTCCCACAATGTACTTTGTGGAGCTATCCATATTGGGTGGAATTTGGAAGAAGCATTGAAAGCTTTTTAAACACATACACCTACAAAAAACAAAGCATTGCAAAGGAGGGAAACATCACTGCCCTTATTTCATGATACACAGTATTAGAACAAGAAAAAGCAACATAGTGGTCAGGTTTGGGGTGTGGTTCAGGTTTCCATTGCCTTATCCACCAGAAATATTGTGATTCTAACTAGCAATAGCAGGATTGTTCATACTCTCCACTAATATTCAATCCCATAATTCTTTATAATAAATCCTGTGTTTATCAGCATATGGATAAATTACAAACCCTACATTGCACTCTACACAGCTTGATTTTTTCCTAGTTTAATACCTACCGAATAAAGGTAGGTATAGAATATATATAATATACATATATATATATATATATATATAAAAAATACCTAAATACCTACAGAATAAAAGCAGAATTATGTCAGTCTGTTGTGAAAATGGGAATAATTCTAATTTCTGTAAATTGGCAAAAGCAATAACAGTAGCCCTATAAAAATATGCACTGCTTGTCACACATGAAGTTTAATATCTTTACAGAGAAAGTGAAAGAAGAAGCTCCTAAGTTCCTCTAATTATGCTTTTGTTACAAATTACTTAATGTTCTAATTAATATAAAGTTGATTGAATGCAATACACAACTCCCTGTGTTGCTCTGTCTACCTTTGTGCTTAACTTTATTTTCCAGAAAGATGATATAACATTAATGACATATCCCAGCCTAGAATTCAAGTCTGTTTTAACTCGGTTTCCTTCTGTGGCATTGTTTCAGGGACTCGTTTGGATTTTAACATCTCAGGCTGTTTTACAGACATGGCAGGAATTGTTCTGTTTATACGTTGTGCTGCCATCGTGTGGACAATATTAAGAAGTGCAAAAAGCAGCTTTAAAGAAATTGGGAAACGGGTAAATATCTGTATTTGTTATCGTGAATTAGATTAATTATAAATATATATGACATTATATAAGAGCTATGCAAAAATATGTGGGTTTAACACTGCTAATGGAATCAGGAATATTGATTCAATCCTGTTTATTTTCAGCTCAAGAAATCCTTTGCAATGAGCACGAAGCGATCAAAATACACAAGTCTCCAAGCCACTTTTAATCAGCACCAAATTCCAACATTACCTGCTTTTTTATTCATTTCTGTATCTTTTTATCTCTTTGTTTTTCCTCCTAAGTCTTTGCAAAACTTGTTTTTGTACAGAGTGCACTGCTTTCCTTCCACTCACACGCACAAACACTCACTCAGAACATCAGCCAGCCCAGGCACCCTGCCCACACAGTCCTCATTCCTGCATGAGTTTACACGAAGCTTCCTTTCAGAAATGGTTTTGGTCTAAAGCCTCTTCTTGTTTCCTACATTTGACCCAGAGTTAAAGAGACTTAGAGTGGAAAGAGCTGCATCTAATACCAGTAAAAGTCCAATGGCCAAATTAGAAAAACTACAGTGCATTCCTGCAGTTTAAGTCTTACTAAAATTAAATACCTATGAAACTTTATCTACTAAACTTTAATATCTATAAAATGTAAGTAGACTTAGGTCAATCCATTGTGAAAATGTGCAAATTTTTACCTCTGAATGTTGGATTATGAACAGACCCTCTAGAAAAACATCACAAATCGTGGTAATTATGCTTACATAGAAAATGAAAGGAAAAAGTGAAATAAGTTCCTAAAGATAATTTCCTCTAAAACAGCCCATCTATAACAGGTAAAGGTTTACACACAAAAAATGTGTGATTCTAAAACTGTCCTATGCAGTACAGTCCCTCAAATCAAAGCAGCATGTCACAGCAGCATGTTCCGCCTGCTGCTCTGAGATCCTCTATGCCAGATGCTGCAGTCTGCTGACTTAATTTATACTGAATAAAGGTAAAGCTTTGTAAGCCTTGCCTGTGGGCTTCAAACAGATTATTTGGGAATAGAGCTTAAAAAAATGTTTGGACCAATCCCTTCTTTTGTGAATGTTTAGTGGGGTTGTTTAGGAAAACTTAAGAAGTTTTAATTACCCTTTATAATCACTGAAGATCTTTGGAATCTTTTATAAATGGGTATCAGTGTAGCATTTTACTTGAGTTGTCACTCACTTGTGCAGAAAGAGCCTGCTCTTGTGGTACAGTAGGAGATGAAATAAATATATGTTTAACTAAATAGATATAATGGAATGCCATGCAGTAGAAGATTCTCTGTGATGCTTTTTCAGCTTCTATAGAAAGACAGGTAAATCTATGCAGTAATGACCTCTATTTTTCCAGGTATTTGCATTTTATACTTGGTTGATTTTGTTTTTAAGCAAATGTGAGTTTCAGCTGAAATTTCTACCCTCCAAGGCCTTATTTTTTTTTTTTTCATGTGGATATTCTGCCATCTAATTAGGTACAAAGATAGATTACAATATTCTGGATAAATTTACAGCATATCATATTTGTTTTCTGCTTTGGCTTTTACTATAATGAAACTTGTGGGTGCCTAATTTTCTTTGACAATTTTACCTTACTCTCAAACTTGTTAGAAATTACTATGGATTGAAAAATGCTGTGGGTGAGAGGTAAATGGAACATGTTGATGCATGGAAAATGTTTTTGTAATCTCTAGTCTGTATCACTGTGCTCAAGTTCTTGATTATTTGATATTAAAGTGCTTAGAATACATGGAAAAACATTAAAAACTCAATTTATATCCATGAATTAGAAGATAAACTCTAGGTTAAAAAGTCTCATTTGTGATTTAATAATTGGCAATATTGTGCTAGAAGGAGGGTGGAACAAATTCAACAACCAACTTTCTTTCAGATGAACTTTAAATGTCAAAGTGATATGCGTGTGTTTGGTTTTCAGTGTTTTGGAAACTGTCCACTCACCCTTTTAAGAATTGTGACACTGGTTTGGCTTTGGAAGAATTGGTTAAGTATACTCTGAGAGGCAGTAATTTAATGAAAATCTATTAGGTTTTCTGGATTCTGACAACTTTTGTCATTGGTGAATGTGAAAATGGAAAATGGAGCCTTTCCTGATTTACAATTTTTTCATGTTGCTCATCAAACTTTAAGAGTTTTTTGCCCATTATAACCTTGATGAGTTAATGAGATTATGCAATATTACTAATGACAGACTTTAATTTCCATTTTTAAAATAAACATCTCTAAAACTAAAATATAAACAGAAAGAAACAATAATCAGTCTCATCAACCTCTCCTGGCTGTGGTCTTGAGCTTTTACATCCTCTGCCTTTTCATTAAACTAATTTATGCTCATACCCTTCTGGGAGAGCTTTGGGTCTGTCAGGCATTGTACCATCTCGAGGACCAGGATTTGCTGTAATTATCTCCCAGTAATTCTTATCTTCTTCAACTTTGCGGGCATCAAGATAATTGTGACAAATTACTTCAAATTCTCTTCCAAAACTAGACCTGCAAAGTCAAAAGAGATGGGATAGGCAGGGAGAATTAATATATATACAAATTCAGCAAATCTTCATTACTTGTGAATTGTTTGAGACTTTCTCATTTTTCTCTTGGTATACTCAGAAATATCACCATGCACTTTCAAATACCAGAAACTTAAAAGAAACAAAATAACCCACTTGGTTTCCTATGAATAATTTAGGAATCCAAAATAAATGCCATCTTTCTAGCCCCAGCAGAATAAGGCCCTGATAGAACAACAAAATTTGTAAAAGCTGGTTATGCCCTCATCCTCACTTCTCTCTGACTGAGGAGGATTCTGGCTACTTAACAACTTCTTCAGCCTCAAACTTTCAGACCTTTCATCCTCAAAAACCTTACACAAATCCTCAGTCAGGTCTTGCTAAGAAGTTAATAGGAAACATTGGTGTACTCCTTAGCCTAATCAATATTAATTTAATGCATATGTATTAACTGAATTGAGAGATTAACTTTGTTTTGTTGAGACATTGATTCAGATGGACATAAGCATCTAGAATTTTATGCACTGTGATTTTATTTAGTTCCCTTGTTCTTTACACTTCTTAGTATATAATTTTATTCCTCCAAAATTAGTTCAAACAACTGACATTGTTCAAGATATTCAAAGGGAGAACCACTAAAAAACTAGAGAACACTAAAAGAATGATATGATAATGAAAAAAAATCCAAAAAACAAAGACTGATCCAACTGCCTGCAGCAACCCAGCAGCACGTTACAGCCAATAAGTAAAATAAGGGAAAGGAGAACGGCATTTTCTATTATTTTCCATTTCCTCAGTGTGTTCCTAAAGCACTTCTCTGGTTCCTCACAGTAATTCTTGATGCTGGCCCATCACTGTGCACACCCTGCCCGTTGTAAGTTACTCTTACCACACACAGAAGGTCCTCGGAACAGCTAAGTTGCGGTTGGTGTAGCAATGAGTAATAATAATTTTAGTTTCTGACTGGAAAAAAGAGAGCAAGGGAAGACACTTGACAAACATTTTTAAACCAGAAGTGTGAATAAAGACTGTCTTTAACAATTAGTTAACTTTGACTGTGTTTATTAGTGAGCTTATTCATGTAAATGAGTCTTAGCTCAAGGCTGTGAAGGAGCAATTGTATTTGTGATACTCTGTTGTACACCAGCACTTCAGGGAGGCCAGCAGTCATCTGGTACAGGAAAATAGTGTATTTACAAAAGCTTGAAAACATTTGGAAAATCATCCACTTATTCAGATGCCTTGAGAATTTTATTAGACCTTTAATGTACAGGACCTTTCAGTTAATTGCATCTCCAAATATTGGAAATGGAATTTACTGTCTCAAAAGGCCTGAAAAACAGGTAAGTTATGCACCCCCCAACATTATCATGTCAAGCTTTGAAAATTTCTGATGAGAAAAACTGAACAAGTCAACCTCAAAATGAACAGTAGAAACAAATATTTTTATAAGCAGATTCCTAATTAAAGAAATTGTTCCTTCCTTCTCCCCCTTCCTAAAAGTAGAGGTTAGAACTGGCATAACTCACATAAATATGTGAATAAAATCAACATAACATTTTTTCTTAGTAGTCCACCTGTTTCAATTAAATTTTCATAACATTTCCTACAGTTTTAGTTTCTTACAGGAACTGGACATCCTTCGTGTTCGAGACGCAGTTGTGGATCCAAGGACTTTGCTTGCCAGAAAGTCAAATAGGAAAGCTCACCTGTCAGAAATACTTTCTGAAGGCGAGATTTTTGAGCAAAATCTCTAAATGTTTTGTGGTCACTTGCCAGATAAAACTGTAAAAAAAATATATATATATTAAGGACAGTATTAATGTAAAAGAAACAAGATATGTAATTTTGAAACATATTTTTGAACAAAAGAACTTTTCTCTAGGCTCCTGATAGATCAGTCTTCCCAGCTAAAACTGTGCAGGCAAAACCCATAGGATAAATTCTATACTGCTGATAAACTCATTAAGTAGTTATTCTATATGCAGATTTGTGAATACTAATTTAAAATTGAATTTACATTCCAAATATTTTTATTTCACCAAAGTGATTGTTGAGAAGTTTTTCAGAACTTTTTCAAAGTTGTGGTAATTTATCTTGAGGGCATATGCACGTGTAATGCTTTATTTGCTTTTAATTTGCAGCAGGAAAGAATGTTCCCTTTTAAAATAGAAATAGAAATCTGTTTCCTCAGAATGATGGAAGAGTGCATGAGTTTCTATTCCTACTATAGATTATCTTCATAAGAAAGGAAATCTTCTCATTTTGGAGTTTCACAGAATATTGTGAGTTGGAAGGGACCTACAAAGATCATCAACTCCAACACCGAAGTGAGTTGTTCAAAGTGAAAAAACCCTAAAATCTCCTTGAAGAATTCTTTCATGATTCACAATCTAATTGTGATTTCTTTTTCTTTCCCTTTTAGATTTCCTTTATTCAGTCATTCTGGCTAACAGCCCCCTTGGTCTGCACACCTGACCTCAGGTAAGTAGCATAAACTTTCTTTTTCTTATCTTGACCTATGCACAATTCTGAGCCTGTTCTGTAAAACTAAGAAATTGCACCGGTGTACAGCTTTATATATCTATTCTTAGGGAAGGATTCAATGCACATTATCAGTACATGCTACCACTGCCATTTGTAACTTTGGTGCCTTACCAGTTTGTCAGAAACCCCTCCTTTTGTCCCAAGAAGGAAGTTCTGCCCATATCGAAGTGGTTCACCTACTGCACTTCCATCAACACTGTTAAAATTGTAAAAAGGGAAAAAAGGTACATTCAAATATCAGTTTCACTATTGTTTAGGGGTTTTGTCTGTTTTGGTGTGCAGTTAGATGTTGCTTTGTGACAAAATTTTATGCTGTTTACCTTTTAAAATAGGTAAAATATCTTAACCTAAGGCAGAGCCTTTGACTATCGAGCAGGACCCTGTTCTTTTGTTCTATATATTTGAGAGAGAGAATATGTTGGATTTTTTAGAACCAGAACCATGTCCACTTCATGGAAAGCAAAAGCAAAGACACATATTTCTGCTAGCAGGAGAGTGAATATTAATACTAGTGATATTTGGACATATTTTCTCTGCAACTGGAATAAAAACAGCTGCAAATGTATCATTTTATTACCAAATGATACAGTGAACTTCATACTGTCAAGTTCACCTAAGCTGATTTAGAAGTCCTTGGAATTAATCAGAGTAATATGCAGGATAGAATCAAGCTTAATGCATGATTGAAGACTCTTTCTTAAATAAATTAAATTTACTCATATTCCTTTGTATATTAGCAAACTTCATTGTGCATTTCTCGAAACAAGATACCTAAAGCTAAACTAATAATTGAAAATAACTCCGAATAAAGCAGCAGACCTTACAATACAGAAAGCATTTCGACCTATGGGGTCCACCCTCTTGACGGCACTGAGTCCACGTGAGATCTGCAGGGGCTCGTCCGAGTACAGGGACACTTCCTCCATGTCCACAGCCAGGGTGACATCGCCGCGCAGCTCGGGGTCCCTCTCCTCCGGGGGGGTGCAGTCCGGGTTCACGAGCAGCACGGTGTCTCCAAAGTGAACAAATCCATCAGAGGACACTGACAGCTCTACCTAAATGAGAATTCACGCGGTACTTTACAGAATTGTCCGAACCTAACATCATAAATATTTTAGTATATAAATTCTGTATCATTGTTAGTGCATGAAGAACAATAACAGGAGTTATGCCACTCTGTGGGGGACATGGGGAAGTGGACACAACCCTCTTCAAAAAATTACCTTCTTGAAAATATTCTCTTTAAGCCTGGCTAATCTCTGTACAAAAAGTTGTCCTTTCTCTCTCTTACGGATAAAATCCTTCAGGAGGTCCTGTCGGCAAAGGAGAGAGGAGCAAATATGTTATCCAGCACCCACAATCTCGGCTTTAAAGTGGATTTAGGGAGCCGGGGGGCAGCCCAGAGCAGGGGGGCGGCGGTGTCCGGGGACGGCGGTGCCTGGGGATGGATGGCAGTACCCGGGGATGGATGGCGGTACCTGCTGTGCGATCTCGTCCTCCAGCCAGTTCCCGACGCGGACCCCGAGGCGGTAGGAAGCCATGGCCGGGCCGGGCCGCGTCCGGCGTCGCCATAGCGACCGCACCGCGCCGCGATTGGCCAGCCCGGGGAGGGCGGGGCGGCGATTGGCCAGCCTAGAAAGGGCGGAGCCGCAATTGGCCAGCCCGGAGAGGGCGGGGCGGCGATTGGCCAGCCCGCGCCAGGCAGGGCGGGGCCTGCGCGGCTCTGAAGGCGGAGCGGGGCCGTGAGGGGCAGTGGGGTCATGGAGTGTTTGACAGGGCGCAAGAGCGTTTAGATCGTCCCGTCCCACTGAAAATCCAACACTGCCAGGTCCTCCCAGAGCCATGTCCCGAAGTGCACGCGTCTTTTAAATACCCCCGAGCGTGGTGGCTCCAGCACTGCCCTGGCAGCTCGTTCCAGTGCTGGCCAGTCCTTTCGGTGGAGCAGTTCTCAGTGTGAGCTCCGCCAGGGCAGCCTGAGGCTGTTCGCTCTTGTTCCAGCACTTACCGTGTCGGTCTGTCCGACAGAGCAGTGAGAGCAGCTCAAGCCTTCTCGGGCACTCGCCTTTTACACTACATATTAAACAAAGAGGTGCACCAGTTTAACACAATAAATCAGTTCGTTATCACTGCACTGTGATTGAATCTATGTTGAAATCACCTTAAAATCACCTCATTTCAGCCCTCCCCTGCCGTGGACAGGGAGCCCTTCACCAGAGCAGGGATCTCCAAGCCCCATCCAAGCTGGCCTGGAGCAGCCACAACCTCTCTGAGCAACCTGTGCCGGTGTTTTACCACACTCATTGTGAAAAACTTCTTAATGTTTAGAGGAAGTGAATGTATCAATTGTAAATGTTTTGTTTGTAAATGTTTTGCTTTGTTATTATCTTAGTTTGAAATCTACAAGGCAAGTTAAGCTAAGTGACTATGCCCATGCCCTGTGTTTATTTTCCAGATAGGCTAAGCCTATGATATTCAGAGAAGGTGTAAATCCTTGCACAACACATTTAATCCTTTTACCACTGTCACAGTTTTCGTGCAAGCTTGCTATCATAAAGTTTCAATGCAGGACAACTTACAAAGATGAAAAGAAAATTGTTTTTTGCATGGACAGCTGGGCTACGTCTTATCATCAGGCAGTTTTGACAGTAATTCACGTGAAAACTTGGCACTTTCCTGTTTGTTTTGTAACCCAAGAAGTTATCACTCAAAAAGTTATTTAGCACATCCCAAACTTTCAATGACCAAATTCTATCCATTTTTGTTCAAATAGCACCACTCAGTGTTCAGTTCTAGTAAGTGACACTTCCCTACACCTAGCTCTGTTGCCAGCAATGCTGAAACTGTAATTAGAATAAGGAAGAAACTTCGTTCATCTTAGCTAAATGCCAAAAGACAAACACCTTTTTCTTGTTTCAGAATTAAGCCCCTTCAATCAATATTCAGTAATAAATCATTGTTATAAAATCATCTCTTATGCTTAGCTGTGTCATTAAGAGCAGGTGCACTGTCTTGCTGTAGCATATATAGAATTCACAGCAAGCTTCCATAGTTTTGTAGCCTTTTGCACTGTCTGTATTTATTTACTTACACATTCTGATGCAGAGAAAAGTATCTGTACTACAATGTAGCTGTGTACAAAAATGTCTCCAAGCATCTCTTAGCAGGATTATGCTGAGTATCCTTGTTACCTGGAAGGATTTAATTTCTGATTACATAGTATTTCCTGTAAACAAACAAAAAGAGCTCCCGATAAAGATGTTTGAAAATTGAACATCTTCCCTGCAGGAAAGTTTACAGGCTGTTCAACTCAGCTCAGTTTCCTTACATGCAGATAAAATCTGTGTTTACTCCTAACAGTTGTTTGCTTTATTAAATGGTGTGAAGAAAAGCTGTGCTTGTGAAAGAATTGATCTGTTTTGTGTGTCAAGTTATGCCAGAATACAAACTGACCAGAATTAAAGGTCTATGTGATTTACTATGTACAATAATATTGCGGGCGTTTGTTTTTTGGTTTTTTGGTTGGTTTTTTTTTTAAGTCATTGTTAAATAAAATTTTAGCCAGCTACTTTCAGAGACTGTTCTACTGTCTGGAGTTGCACATATTTTACCCTTTTAATCTTCTCTTTTTGGTTTTTTTTTGTTTTCTTTTTAATGAAAGATAACTAGATTGTTGAGAAGACCCCAAATAGCACATAGAGCTATCTATGCCATTAGTTTACATAAAATGCTGGGCTGGTTAGACTTTTAATTGCCTTAAGCTTGTCAGAAATGTGTGAGTTAGAACATGTTTTAAATACTTGAAATTATAAATGCATTGGTAAATGTCAGTACTACAAATTATCATGTGTGGTCCAGTCTGGCTAAAAGGGCAGGGTCTGAATGGGTGTGAATGTATATTAAGTTCATGAAAAATTAATGTGATCTTACTTAGAGAAGAGCAAAAAATACTAAAACTAAGTCATCAAATCATGCACATGTTGGATGTGAATGTTTTTATTACCTGCCTTTTCTGCCTTGGGAGTGTGGCTATGGGGGTTTTTTCCTGTTTTCTTTTTTCCTTTTGAAATTTGTGAGTATGCCAAATTTGATTAAGAATACAGACTAAATAATATTGCACAGGAGTAAAACGTTCTCTGGGACAATTTGTCTTCTTTCATGTTATTATTTTACACTAGCATTATTCCGACACATGCTATGAATCAGTTTTCTTTGCTGTTATTAGGTTTCTGGCTATTAAAGTGATTAACCTACTTGTTAATAATTTAACTACAGTTTCTTATTCTGACCTGTGCCCCAAACACTCCTCTGTTCACAGAACAAAAGGAATTAAGTAGTTTTTGTCATCTGATTTAAGGATTGTTGTTTTGCCACTTGTGGGGATGCCTCCCCTTTTGGCTGTGAATTCAGTGTGGAGTTTTCCTGTGATGATTTTTGCTGGGAAGCAGTGAACCTGGTCACGGTACATTATTTTGTGAAATGTAGCAATCCATTAAACTGACCTTTCAGTCTGTCGTTTACAAGGAAAAGGAGCAGGATTCCTGTGTGCCGTATTGGCAGTAAGTTTGCTGATACAGGTATACATGAGTGGAAATTTACTCTTTTATCTGGTAAAAGATATCCAAAATGAATATAATTGATAATTTGGTGGTTTATAACCAAAAGATTATGCTAGAGAAGGAAGGAAGGAGAAGGGAATAATTTTCAATGTGTCTAAGACTACTAAGACTAAGACTAGTAGTAGTAGTAGTAATAATAATAATAATAATAATAATAATTATACTTGGCAGTTTGTTTGGATTGAGTTATCCACATCTCCATGGTGTTTTCTACTGGTTTCTAATTTAGATTTGTAGAGAGCATTTCCCTTTAGAGAAATTGTATAATGAATATTTTCTCTTCAAATTAAGCTGTTCCATCATGACTGACTGTGCAAGCTATTTGAAGATTTTCTCCTCTTCCTGGCTGAATTCCATTCAGCAGATGGACTTGAAAGACCACTAGAGTTCTGTATCTCTCAGAAAAATATTGTCATTCCGCAAACAGTAATTTATGAAAAGAATATAGAAATTTTAAAGTATGTCTTCAAGAAATAACACTGTATTTTTCAGAGATCTGTATTAACTCTGAATCAGCTAAAATACTTTCATCAGCAATAAATAGTTCAGTGGGAGCAGAAACACCATTAACAAAGCTCCATTGCTTCTTGCATTTATCTCTTTGCAGGACTGTGCATCATGTATGTCTGCCCTTAGGCAACTTAAAAATGCCTCTTTTCCATGCTGTGGAGTATTTCTTCAAGGTGTCTGACCAGAACAATGAGACTGGCAATGCCATTGGGTGCAAAAAAGTCTCAACTGACTTCTTTTAGGAACTGCTTGTTTGGGACCTGCTTGAAGAGACTTGAGATGTTCACCCACTTCCAAGGTATGGAGTGCATTGCATGTGCTGAGCTGCAGAGTTCTGTCCTCAGAACAGGCACTGACGCAAAATCACTGTGGCTGAGCTGTGGTCCTGCTATAATGGGTGGAAATCAGCTCACTGATCTATTAAAACTTCAGTCTCCATGAATACTCATGCTTGAGATTTTGAAATCTGCTTTCGCTTGGCAATTTTTGCATGTAAAAAGCAATAGCAAGATTATCTGTAGAGAAAAAAAAAAAATAGCCCTGAGCTCCATGACTTAAGCTGACTTTGACTGTGTGGGTTGTTCAGGCAGAAAGTCCTGCCAATGTGGACACACTGCTCCTGAAACTGGAAGGCCACATTTCTGCACGGCCTCTTGTGACCCAGATCATTCTGTCAGTTCCCACTTTAGGGCTATCTATGGATAGTGCTCAGAGTTGTCTTTGCTTCCCTTTTTAGCCTTGCCTGCAGCATTATTCCTCTCCTTTATTGTGAATTGCCTGTTGGATCAATCCTTGCCCTGTGATGTCACTTCACACAAGTGATGTCACTTTCCTCCTTTTGGGTTTTCCTTCCCTGTGAGGACAGTGTTAAAAAAAGAGACCAATCTGTTCCCTTCATTTTCCATGGTGCAAACATACACTCCAGTCTCGAAGCAAAATAATGATGTACACAAATAACACTGGAGATAGAAGTCACCCTATCTTTGAACATTTCCTAAATTTGTTTGCTAGAAACTGTATCCCACTGGCCCCCATGAGAAGCTTATTTGTGGTAATTAAGGTTTAGAGATAAGGAAATTATAGAGATCACAATACTTTGTTCCACATGAATCTGTGTTACATAAAATGAGCTGTCTAGAAACAGGAACAGAAACTGATTTATGTATTTATACCACAAAACATGAATCAGTTAAATATTTCTGGCAGAGCAAAAAGGAACGTGATGAGACTCTTTTGTCCTGAGGGGGAAAGAACATGTGTATTGTAATTGTTTTTAACATTTTCTGCCACCATTCTGCTATTTATGGTTTTGAATTGGCTGACCCTACTCTGGCAGTGTATTTATGTCAGACATCACGGCCTACAGAAAATATTTTATATGTCTGAAGACCCTGGCAACTGTTCTAATTTGAGGCTCAGAA